TTATAATAGTTCTAATACAAGACACTGCAATAAAAAGAGGCATGGCAAACCAAGAGAAAGAGAATTAGGCATAAAAGAGAATACAAGTAGAAAACATTAAACAAAAATGACTATATGTTGTGGAATTATGTTTTATTGTTATGTTTTTTACTATCATAAAACCATGCAGACACAATTCATTGAACATTTGTATTTTATAAGCACCCCATATTATAGCCTTTTTTCCTGTTAACTTTACAAAAAAGGTTTGAGTGTAGATATGGAATTTTTTTATGGACTTAAAATTCTTGTTGGAAACAGAGGATTAATATAAATGTGGATTTTTTTTTCTTTAAGGTTCTTTCTGCCTACTTCATATTTTTAATAACTTGTATCCAAAAAGGATCATGGAAGGGTCAGGTGCTTTACAGTTCAACAAACACACTCAAATTTAAGTGTCATCTTGTCATTTACTAGTTATGTGACAATGGATAAGTTATTTAACTTCTCAGAGTCCCACTTTCCTCATCTGTTAAAAAGGAGATAAGAATATACAGGGTTTTTAAATTGAAGTAGTCAGTTATAATATGTCAATTTCTGGTATACAGCACAATGTCCCAGTCATGCATATATATACATATATTCATTTCATATACTTTTTCATTAAAGGTTATTATAAGATATTGAATATAGCTCCTTGAGCTATACAGAAGAAATATTTTTATCTATTTTTATGTATAGCGATTATCGTCAAATTTTTTAATGTTATTGGGAGGTAATGAAGGTAAAATACCTGGGAAGGTAGCTGCTCAGTTACTGGTGGCTATGACGGTTTATACCGTTTTATATAAACAAGAATGAGCACTTGAGTGTGTGATGCCACACTCTCACATGAAACCTTTAGCAATGATGCACTTTGTTTCTATCTTCTTAAGAGAGTTTCTGTATGTCTGCGGCTCTGTCTCAAAAAGACTCCAAAAGATGCTTGAAGGATCTTGTAGCGAACTGCCACTTTTAAGCAGCAGATATTATTATGGTGAAATTCTTCAAGCTTGATAAAAACCAGCATTATTACGGAAGCTGAATGAGAACTTATCCACGGTGTTGCCAATAACATCACACGATACGTATCATTATTTTCTCTTATTGATGTGGAAACTGAATAAATATATAATTCCATTTCAGCTAATATAAAGTTTTTTTTTATTTCATCCTACTTATCAAACCTTCACTGACAGCAAGAATGAAGTGAAACCCCTTCTAACACCATCTTTTGGGAACTGATTGCAATTTCATTGAATGCTATTTCAGCACAGGTACTTCTGGGTCAAAAAGAAGTCACGTCTACTACAAATTTTGCCCCAAATTTGTTTACAAATAGAATTTTATTTTAGTTAATCAAGGAAACAAAAACAGTAACACAATGAACATCTAGATACCATAAATGCTGATTTCAATTATTAGTTTATAGCCTTTTGGGTCTTTTGTCCACCAGACGAGAAAACAGTGGAAAAATATATTCTTGCTATTTTGCAAAGAAATGCTTATTGACACGGGGCCAACACAGTGATATTGAATCATCTGCTAATGAGGCCCCCAATGGTCCTGAATTAAGCACCTTCCTTTGTATCAGGTGTGTGATTGACAAAGATTTTGTAATCATGAAGGGAATAATTTGTAGAGATATTTTAAGGAATGTTAACATTCGGTTTCCATAATAGTTTTTCCTATGCTTAAAAATTTCACCAAACTAATAGCTGATACCTAAAGATATTTTTGCTCACTGGCAATCAATTCCAACATTTTTCTCCCCCATCCCTCCTTCCCTCTCTTTCTTTCATTCTTTGTCTCCTTTACAAGATTTGCAGCCCAAAATATCTCTGCAAACTTCGAGAAAATCATAAACATAAAGAAAGTTTTCATGGATTGAGACTCTCCTTTCCATACTTTCTAAAGGTAGAACTTTCAGGATAAGTGTAACACCTATAAAAATTAGGAAAAAAAAAGTTTGGAAGAAAGAGTTGCAAAATACATAAGGTGACAAAATATAAAATGCCGGAGCAAAAATCCCTAAGAGCAAATTTTTAAAAAATTGGTTATGCTAAACTAGGCATCTAAGACAAAACAGAACAATGAGGAGAAAAAAAAAGCTTAGCCACCACTCTAACCAAATCCCATTGGGTCAGGAGGACTCTAATATTTAAGTGACATATTATAGACACTGATAAATCACTATGTTAGGCACTCAAATTATTGTACTCTGATGATACTGAGGAAGAAATTATTTGCATATAAAATGTATCTGATTTGTCTAGGAGCAACTCATCTTCTATTCTGATTTCACAGCCTAAGGCACTGATGGAGCCTGAGGGGATTTAAAGTAGCATGTGGAAGAAAGAGCAAAGGAGTACCATAAAATAGAACAGCACGGAGCACTTCATCGAATTATGCAAGGTTATTTCCAGGAGCAATAACACTTTAAAAAAGGACTAATCTTAGGACTAAGTGACCCTAGTTCAGTTGTTACAGGATTGAAAATAATATCTGAAGAAATATTTAAGAGCAGATTTATCACTTCCATTATTGTTTCTTTGGCTTAAACCTACTCATTGTGTTCTATAAAGGCAACACAGTAAAACTACTCAGTGGTATTTATAATACCAGTGGCAACCATCACAGACCCCAGTTTATTCCAACACTATCCCAATCCTGTGTTTAATTGTGTTCACACTCGCTAGCCTCTCCAGCCTAAATGAAAATGGGTAATCAACTGGCAATCAAGTAATTCCTCACACCCATAAATACAAATTGTTCCGTGGAACTGCTCATTTTCCCCTTTTCTGCCAGGACCACACTGAATGGAGAAAGCGATGGTTGTGGAGGTCAAAAAATGAGAAGATTGCTACCCTGGCTGATGCGTGTGGTTTTAATAGAATAGAGATGACCACCTCAAGACATTCTGACTCTCAGAATTCCCAAAGCAAGTCCTAAAGCAATAAAAACTGTATCTAATTTCACCATAAGCAAAGGAGGTATTCATTAAAGTAAAGTAGATTTATTCTATTCTTTAACCAGAAGATATAGATATAGATATAGATATAGATATAGATATAGATATAGATATAGATATATAAATAAAACAATAAGAATTTTAGCCGAGCAACTCATGGTGCCTAGTTGATACTCAGTAACTGTTTACCGAACATATAAATGAGTGAAGAAAGAAACAGGAAAGGAAGGAAGGAAGGAAAGAACAAAGAATCAAAGGAATAGAAGAAACAGGTATCAAAATAAAAATACATATTACTTACCTACCATATATAAATAAAAACCCCAAAGACAAAAACAAAGCTATCTTTGGATATTGTATAGATTTCCTGGTGCCTTTTTAGATATACTGAGTATAATTTACCTACTGATCTGTTCTTTATTAAGCATAGCACATTATTGTTGTTCACTACCACGTGGGGCTACCTGACATTGTCATTCAATTGTTCTTAAAAACAATAAGGACAAGCGCTTTAGCACACACAATATAGTAAAGTTCAGGCCCCCAAATACCCTAGCCTCTTTAAAAAAATGGTCTAAATAATCCCTGGAGTCTGCTTTAGGATGTTCAGAATAGCCAATGTCTCTCTGTTGGCTTTATACAAAGATAGGGAGGAAAAACCAAGATCATAAGTTTTGATGGTGAGAGTAATAAATTTTCATATGCCAAACTTTAAAAAAAAAGGGGGGAGTGGAGAAGAAAAAATGGTCTAAATAAAAAGTCAGAAGCCAGGCAGGAAAATTGTAATGATTGGCTATCAAAACACAGACTTTTAAAATACCAGCAGGAAGGAGTGGAACAAGTGACAAGCAAGTCATGAGAAGTCTAAGCCTAACGAGTGAAACACAGTTGTGTTAGTGTGTAAACGCAGCACTGAAGTAAAACACACGGATGCTACTACCAATGGAACAGATGGACACTGGGGCTATTACCTTCTAGAAATTCAATAAGTAGCACTTTGTCGAGGAATGCAAGGCATCTTTTAGTGAATAAAATTAAGAAAGTAGTGCCTTCCAATAAAATAGGCTTATTCGGAATGTATGAAATAACTTATCTCAGAGTAATTGCAAACAGTGGCCATGGACATTTAAGCCTCAACAAGTGTAACTTCTTGTTTGCTTTCTTTTTTTCCACTTATAACTCTCTCCAACGGGAATCTATTAAGCTGTTATTAATCAGTGATGGTTAACTGATAAGTGAGAAAAGATGCACAATTTCCATTTCATTTCAAAGCTTCCTTAGATATTCATATAAATGCAACTTACTGAGTGTTTATGCTATTATTTTAAACTGTTGTATTTTCATACATACTTATCCAATTAGGTGATAAAGTAAGCTTTTTAGTTATCCATGCCTGAAGCAAGTCTAGTTGGATGCACACACACACACACACACACACACACACACAGAATACATTTATCTGCCTGATTACAAATATCCATATGCCCGTTAATGGGCTCCCAATGAAATAACCAGTTTCATACGCACTAGTTTTATTAATTAGAATTTTAAGCTAAAAGCAAAAACTATATTGGATTTGTATCCTCATGACATAATCTGATTCTAAGACAAATGCAGTTATTTATATCATTTCACAGTTTAGGAAAAAGTTTACTGAGTACTACTACTCATTACAACAGTTGCTTCACATGTATCATATGTTTCCCAAAACAAGTCTATAAATTAGGAATTGCAATTCTTTCTCACAAACTAGAAAATTAAGATGAGAAGATACTGACTGCTCCAAATTCACATAAATCTTAGATGTGCAGTGGAGAATGTACATCTGAGGACAGACTGTGCACTCTTTCCAGGACACCATGCTCTGGCCCTACATAAGATGGTAAAGGTGCCTGCAAAGCCAACAGACCAGAACTTAAAACTAAACCACCTTAGTCAGCAGGATTGTGATCTAACTATGATATAGCTAGAGTTTCAACCTGATTCAGGGATGTGTGCACAATTTCTCTCTCTCTTTCCCTCTCTTCCCCCATCCCTTCAGAAGCACAGACACACACACATACACTCATACTCATACTCACAATATTTAAAAACTGGATTCCATCTTCCTTATCTAAGTTAGCATTAGTGCTCTTTTCCTGGTTAGTGTACAGCCTGGAGACAGTAGGAGGAGAAATTCCTCTGTAGGTAGGTATTCAAAAAATTCAGTGTATTTTTACAAATAGTTCCAATCCTGGTGGGTAAAGAAACATATACATATAGTTTTGTGAATCCTGGTATGTTGATGGTATTGTACGATTAGTGTCTGGATTCACTTGACTGTATAATAATTACCATGTGCATTTTTTAACATGTTGAGATCACAAAGCTTTGAAAGTTTATTAGCTCCTTTAATGTTGAATGTTGCATATACCTTTTCTCTTTTCCTAAATTTGTGCTAGGAAAAGGCATCCTGGAGAAGACTAACACCGTTAGTCTAAAGGAAATCATTTTGTTTAAGTAATTTTAATTTGTGTAAAGTGTGTTTTTCTCTCTCTTTCACATCTACCTACCTATTTGATGTACACTGCTGAACATAATCCAGCTATTGAAATATTTGCAATAATCCACAATAAACAGAAGCTAAAAGAGCACTTTAAGTACCATAGCATTTTCTAATTTACTTCTCATTTTAGTAGTATTTATTACTAAATATTTTAATGTAATTTTAATGTAATATTTTAATACTATTGATATTTCTGAGTAAAATTACTTAAATAATTTCATACAAATGAAACTATGCATTTAACTTAGATTTTCAATTTTAAATAGATAAATAATTGATCCCGAGAGTTCTTTTCAACATTCTAGGGAACTTTTTCACTAGGGACTAAAATAAATATATTTAAGTAAATCACTGATGCTGAATATCAAATATACGGATCTTTGCTTTCTAAAGGACACAGTCTCCATTGCATTTCTTCAATGGTAACATTTGCATTAGAGAATAAATAACCATTACGAAGGTCTGAAATATTGACTGGTTTTAGCATACTGCTCTGGGAGGGAGCAGAGTCTTCATAAATCCTGTTGTATGAAAATACCCTCTTTTCCTAGACATGGGCAGATTCAGTACCTGGGCAAATGAAAAAACTTATATATATATATATATATATATATATTTTTTTTTTAATTTTTTAGTTGAAATATACTTAGTTTACAATGCTGTGTTAGTTTCTGGTGTACAGCAAAATGTGTCAAAAAATAAGCAAGTCTTAAATGTCCTTTTATAGTTGTACTGTTGTCCTTAATTGGTATTTAAGTTATATTGCTGCTTACTTTTATAATTAAAAATATTTGACAATGTTTCTCAGGAGAGGAAGATGTACTTCAACTCCAATTTTATTCAGTCTTTAATTTTTTAAATAGAAATTAATTTATATAAATACACATAAAAAATTACTATGTCTAAATCTTTATGCTGTGGCACAGTATCAGAAAAAAGAAATAAACAAACAAAAAAGCCTAAACTTAGAAATATATCAAATCAATAGGCTAATCAGTAACTTGTAGTACTTTCCTTCCACATAGCAAATGTTGACAAAGCCGGTAACATAAGCAGAAAGGAGAATCATTGTTCCTTGTCAAAAAGGTGTCAGGATTTATGTCAAATACAAAGTCAAAGAGTTTAAAATAAAACTTAAAATGGGTGTCAATATGCATAATTACAACAAAGTACCCTACATATGAGGGGTTCATTAGGGCAGTCAAAACCAGTAGATGGGTTCCAGCTCAGCACTTCCTCCAACTGAGCATAAGAAAGAAAATGCTTGGCTGTGGGGCCCATATTTTAAACAAATAAAAGGGAAAGCTACCTGAACCACTGACTTACTTAAAGTCTGTTGGGTTCTCATATCTTAACAGAGCTGCCTCCTCAAGCATTGATTTATTACTTATTTTCCCATCATAAAACTTTCATTTGCTTCCTCCCAAAGTAGCTGGTGAGGAAGAAAGACAAACCTTTCAAAAGGCATTTTAGCTTGACTCTTTCTTTATTAAAATGAACCTATAATGAAAAAGAGTATGAAAACTAATATGTGTTTGTATATGTATGACTGAACTATCATACTGTGCACCAGAAATTGACACAACACTGTAAACTGACTATACTTCAATTAAAAAAAAAGATACTACAAAAAAATGAACAACGTTGAAAGATGGGCTTTGGATTCTGTTACATACCCACTCTGTAGTCCAGAATAGTCTTAAGGTTAATAAATTTTACTCTGAAAAGAAATATGGAGGTTTCCTTATTATTGGAGGCTATTTGATTAAAGAACAACACCTCTAGCTGGACTTTCTTTAAATCCCTAAAAATAAGTATGTTAGAGAGAGTAATTGTATCTTTTCAAAACATGCTTTGCAATTTCTCTTCATTCTCATTCATTGAAAAGGTCAAACAGATTTAATAGAAAAGAGAATTATGAGTTCTTGAAAATAAACAAAAATAATGCTTGCCTTCATTAAAAGAGTAATTCAAAGTAACTAAATTTTAGAATGAGTAGGAATATTATGAATAATCAGCAAATTTTAATGTTCATCTTAGTCCAATAAAATATTTCATAAACATTTAAGTTAAAATGATTATCTGCTTTTTCAGTGCCAATAAATTTATTCATAAAAATAGAAACCAAAAACATAATATGCATTATATGCTCTATCCGGGGTGTCAGGTCAGCAAACTGAAACAGGTAACCTTTGTGTGCTTGTAAGTTCTCCCCTGACCAGAAACATGATCTATCCAGCCAGCTAATCACCAAACGGAAGCCAGCTCTGGGCTTTACCACCCAAACAAGGTTGACCATGTCATCCCAGCCAATCAGATATTTTCTGTTTTTCTCTTCCTTATTCTTCATTCTTCATCCTATTAAAGCTTTTCGCCACCTGCTCCATTTTGCAGTTCTCTAAAAGGAGACTGCCCACTTCATGAAGTGTTAAAGCTTGTTTGTATCATCTAAATTATCTCCTTTAATCATTTTTCACATATTTAATTTATTATTTGTTCTACTTTTCATAGGATTTTTTTGGGTCAATATTCCTAAATTTTTAGCCACTGTCCAACTCATTGGGTATTCAAAAGATTCCTCCTTTGATAAAATCTATTCATAAACTTGGGTACCACATTCTGATTATAATTTAAATTCAATTCAAACTATATGTTTTATTTATTTATATTTTGCAAGCCGGTTACACTTCTGGTGACCTTGAATTCTCTGTTGTACAATTATAGGTTAAAGGTGGAAATGTTCACGTCCATTTTTATGTTTAGTGAAAGCAGTTTTCCTCTAGATAAATAAGTACAATCATGTTTTCTACTCAGATCTTTCTTAGACCTCTGGATTAGGAAAAAAATGAAGATACTTCAGAAGCTCAAAAAGAAATAGGCAACAAGACGAAAATTGAATCACAGAAATATAGTAGCTATTCCTTTTTGAACCTTACAGAGTAATAAGGTTTATGTAAACATAAGCTGAATGGACCTTTTTATATCCCTCTGAGACTTTCTGAAAGCTCGTAAGAGTCATACTTCACTAACAATGGTGCAACATGACCAAGTACTTAGTTTTCATACAAAAAGGCAGTATTTTAAATGGCATTCTTAAGAGAGTAAGCCAGACTATTTATTTTCTGGAGGAAATAAATTTGGAGTGGTAAATGATGCAGGAACTATTTTTTTTTATTAAGTCATCCTAATTTCACAGCAGTTCTAAAACTCTGTGGCCAGAATCCCCAACTTAAAAATAAAAACATCTGTTAATTGTTCCTGTATGAAATTGTTATTCTTATGTGAGGGTTGTTGTGGTGTATACAATTCCCAATGTGCCTTCATACCAAAACTGGAAATAATTAGCTACATGTCTGGAAGGTTTAACTACGGAACATGTTAATTTGGCTTAGAGATAGTTCTTTTCTCCTGCACGTTTACTTTTGTAAATTTCTTACTGATTTCTCTATATGATTTTATATCAACTGACTGCTTATAAAATTGCAGTCTATACAAACACTGCTTTTACAAAATGTTGAAAGTCGTTTCCTTTATTATTGAATTTTATGTCTCAACCTATATCAATATTTTAACATGTCAGTATGAAACAGCATGGTTCAGCTCAATAGTCCCTTAGCTTTTCTTTCTCTTTTTAACTTTATTGAGGAATAACTGACAAATATAATTGTGTATATTTTAAGTGTACAATGTGATGACTTGACAAGCATATACATTGTAGCATGATTACCAAGATCAAGATAATTAACACATCCATTACCTCACATAGTTAACGTAGGCAACCCCTTTTTGTGTGTGTAGTGAGAATGCTTAAGATCTACTCTCAGTAACTTTCAAGCATACAAACTGTATTATTAACTAGTCACTATGCTGTACATTAGATCCTTAGAATTTATACTTATAACTGAAAATTTGTACCTTTTGACCTTCATCACCCATTTCCCCTCTCTTTAGCCCCTGACAACCACTATTCTATTCTCTGTTTCTATTTTTCTGGTTTTAAAATATATACATAGTTTATAATTCACTAGTTGCCTTTTCCATTGGTTTCTTTTTTTTAAAATCCTTGAAAAAAATCTGTGAAAAGCAGAGCCCTGGAAAGGAAGAGCTAACATGTTGGGCAGTATTTGTCTTTCTTTTTCTGGTTTATTTCACTTAACATAATGCCCCTCAGATACTAACTACATAATGAGTTTGGCTTAACACACACTCGTACATACACACACACATAAACACACACACACACACACACACCTGCTAAGTATTAAGGTTTTCTGTTTATACCGTATACTTATGTATAAGATTTATTTATTTCATATATCTGCTTTTGTAATAGCATGCAGATCTTGAGTGTTTAGCATGCTCAATAATCTCACATTTACCCATACTCATTAGGGAATGGACATCCCTGATTAAATGAGTTAAAATTTAAAATGTACATGTTCATGGATTGCCAGTTTTCAAAGAGTTAGAACTTGC